GCCCCGGCCCCTGCGGCGGGCCCGGCCCCAGGCCGCGTAGCGCACATGCATGTCTGCGCCCACCGTCGTGTTCTGTTTGCTGTTCTTGCGGCCCCGGTCCTCCAAAGATTTACAGACAAATCTAATTTTAGGCACTGTATAATCCAACTGAGTGACTATAGCAAGTCACAATACGTAGGACTAAGAAAGCCTGTGAGTCCTGGTAGGACTAATACCCAAACACTTAAAGCAACAGCAGTTTTCATCTTACCACTTGCAAGGGTTGTTTATCCTGTATCAAAAAACTACCTGAATTAAATCCCAGATTTAAAAAAATCAGCAATCTGGAATGCAAAGCAAGGGCACTGTGTAGTGGAGTGACAGATCTCGTTAGTCTAGAGTAGGTAGTTACATCGTTTCTGCAGAATCTTATCAGCTTGAGTTACGGTATGTTATATTCAGTTTAATCAGATGTTTTGCGGTTTCTTGTGGGCTTTTGCAAAGATCATTTATAATATAGTTCGATTTAGAAAACAGCTGAGACAAATGTTTGTGCTGGAGCAGTTACACGACTCTATAGCTGCACGTGGGGTTGTAACCAGCCTGCAGGGCTTCGCTAATTGTGGCGAGGCTGCCAGGACCTCAGGGTCTGGGTTGCTGTGGTCTTGGGCTGAAGTTCGGTGGCGTTTGGATCGTTGGTTTCTTTCCTTCCCTGCCTTCCCTCTCTTCCCACCCCAATAAATGTGACAAACCACTATGGCCCTGGCTATTTGAAAGACAAGAAAGAAGGCTTAGTTTGAGGCACAAAATGCGTTTGTTATTAAAGACTGTAGTTCCACTGATGTCATCATTTAACTACTAATAGTGGTGGAAAATTAAGGTCTTGCTGTAAAAAGGCTCTTACTGTCCAAGCTGAGCTCCTTGAGTACCGCTATTGGAAAGACGTGTCAGCTGGAGTCTCAGATCAGGGCCACTCAAATATCAGCATGCTGGACAGATCCAAACCTCAAGTCTGTTTTCCCATGGCCTTGCCAAGATCCTAGGGAAGTAATGTCTCCTCATTCCTGTGGGAGTTCCTGTGTTTCTTACCCTTCTGGCCTTTGGGGCAATGGCAACTGTTATTCCTAGTTATACGGGGTATACTGGGCTATTCTGCCAGAACTAGAGCCTGGTCATTGCTTCTGGCTTGGTGTGCTTCATTAAAACTTACCGTGCAGAACGAGGTAAAAATTAATTGTGCAGTCTGGCATGGGCATTAAAGGATTTAGTTATTACTATTTATACCAGCTACTGCTTCATCTGGAAAGGTCCCAAAGCATCTTACTGTCCCTGAGTCCTACTTAGAAGGAGAGAAATGTCTTCATCTGGCAGCCCCTCCCTTATACACGTCCTTCTTTGCTTAAATGCAGCCACCTCTGGGCAGCAGGAAAAGCACGTCGAGCAGAACATTGCTGCATACGACAGCTGAACAGCTCAGCAACCGTTTCAGCAGTCTATGTAAATGAGTGCTAGAGGAACAACGTCCAGAACCAAACAGGCCTTTCATTTCTTTTCAGGACTCATGGAGACAAACTGAAAATATTTTCATTAAAAAAAAAATTCAAGTTTTTAAGGCCTGCCTTTTCCTTGCAGCATAGAAAGCATGGAACAGGGAGATATTTGTAACATTTCAGTTTGCATTAAACAAAAATGTATGTTTAAAAAAAATTTTCTGTCAGTTGGTATATTCAAAGTTCTTCCACTTCCTAGCTGGAAACAAGCTGGTACATCACAACAAATATGATAAGAAGTATTCAACTGACTCATATTTCTTGTTGTTTCTGGAACGTCCAATTCAATCACTTCTCTCACACTCCTATCAGATACTATGTTCCCTGAGTCTCTCTGTACTCTCTGTGCTGAGCTTAGGAGGTAATAGGCTGTTCTGTTCTGCTGTCCTCTCACTATCTGTCTGCCTGGCGGAAGATGCAGGAGTTGTTGTAATCAAGGGCAGCATGCAAAATGCAAGTTATATAATTTTAAACAAACATATACTCACAAAGCAAACAAACACAAGAGTAGAAATCACTCAGCCTCCCTTGTTTGTTATATGGGACTTCAGGTGTGTTTAAGACCACACATCCGTGCCTGAGGCTGAAGCACTGCTCTGCTTCATTTGGTTTATCCTTGAGGATTTTGTGTCTGAAGTGTGGGCTTGGCGTGGTTGCATCCGATGACCTGTAGGTGCAGGGCTGGGACTCAGACTAGGCTCTATTTCCCTAGGCCTAAATTCCTCTCACTACTAAGTCAAAATCAGCCAACAGACAGTGTGGGCAAGGAGGTAGTTTGGATTTTAGTTTGATGTAATCCACGAGCAGCTGATGTACCCATGTGCTGATGTGTTTGGCTGGCCTGCAAGCTGGGCTGTTTATCACAGTTAGCTATGTCTGCTACTGACATTTTACTTTGCTTTTTCTTCCTTTCCTTGCCAAAGGTCCTTGATCTTTTCCACAGTCCCAGTCCCGGTACTGAGATTTCACAGTTAATCAGCCACAGGAAGTGATACAACCGGTCATTACTTGTGGTGCTCTGCAGCCAAGAGGGAACGTGGCTCACGTGGCTGCAAGGCAAAGACATTGGTGTTAAAGATCTTGAGGGGGCTGTACAGCAGTCTGTCTTGGGAAGAGGAAAGCTTCTGTGATCCATCATCCTCCACTGCCCAGTGCTCCTCATCCTCTGTATCCACTTTGTTCAGGTGCAGCATGCTGTTGCGCACTCTTCATCTTGGAGGTTGTTGCATTTTAATTATTGTTTCCAAAGTGCAGTTACAATTAAAAGCAGTGCGTACTGTAAGCAATACTTAGTATTCATCACTATGTGGTCATCACTGTGTGAGGTGTCTGTAGCTGTGATGTGTTAGCTTGCCATGTAGGGAGGATGCGTAGGGAGCCTCCTTGTTAAAGGCACTGGGCCAGGTCAGTGGCTGGGGTAAATCTGAGCTTTCACAGAATAAGATTCCTGTATCCTTGCTTAGTGTCTGCTTTCCCTGCTTTTCCTCCTCAGTTTCACCTCCTTGTTTGTTAATTTTGTCTTTTCCCGGCTTTTTTTCTGTAGCATGGAAGAGATTACTGCTGTCTTTTAGCTTCACTGGTAGGCACCAGTCACCAAGCTCATTGCAGCTGTTCCTGCTCTTCGCCTTTCCCTGGGTCTCTAGCAGAGAGAATGTAGGTGCTCTTCTTTACTGATAAATTTTGGCAGTCCCTTTTCATCCTCAAATGCAGGGGCGATGATAGCAAACAGGTGGGTTTGCAGCACAGAAATGGCTATACTTACATTCACAGTTCTCTTCTAGTGCCTGGCTCTACAGCCAAGCGTTACTGACCAAAAAGCCTCTTTCTCCAGCTCTTGTGAGCTTTTCCTGAATATTGTCAGTGGTTGTTTGGAGGAGTATCGGTCAGAAAGTACTTATTTTGGCATATTTTTAAAGTAAGAACTTTTGAAAATTTTAAGCAGGTATATTCTCAGTTGTGTAATAGCAGAGAGAGCTAGCCGGTGTATGCATGGGATCACTAGGAATTAAAATATTTTGAACCAGGACTGTTCTTTAGTTACATATAGATGGCATACAGTACAGCATGTCTAACTGGGAACCTTGTATGCTGAGTCTTCAACCCACAGCAGCTATAGCACTATGCTTCCTGTACTGATAAAGGAAAGAGGGCTTTTGGCTAGGAGGGAGACCTAGATGCTATCATGCTTTGAAAGAGCTCAGGGTCAGAAAAAGGCTGAGAATGTTTGCTGAGTAGGCCTTGCTATCCTGTAAGTAGATAAAACATCATCTGCTGTCCAGCTACAGCAGAGGGATGCTGGAAAGATGGCATGGCACAATAGCTTGTATTTTGCTGCCGCTTTCCGTTCTTTTTGCAAGACGTCTGTGCCAGGAATGCATCAAAGTGTGTAGATGGCGGTAAAGGCTTGGTGTGTGACAGTCAGCCACCCATGCATCCTCATCCCCTCTTCTACTCATTCAAATGTACCCCCCTGACAAATGTAGCTCAACTTCTTAACTGAGAGGTAGCTCCTAAGTCTTCAGCTTCACAACTTTCTCAGGGATTCTGCATAGCAGAGCCGGGACTGTATTGACCTAAATGCATCTCATTCAGATTCCGGGCAACGCTTGGCTGACGTGACCCACAGAGCTAGCCAGAAATCTTTGAGCAGCAAAACCCATAGAGTGTGCTGAGAAAGGTCTGCATTGATTTTTCAAGGTGCAACTCAAATACGTTCAGGTTGCAGGTGGAGGTTGCTCAGAGACTGACTCACAGAAAAGCCCATCAGAATTAGCTACACCAGCCCAGTGGTTTGTGTTCAAGGAGGCCATACGTCCATCTTTTCCTCAGATTGCCTGTTACTTAGACCAGGCTTGTCATAGCCCATAGGCTGGACTGTAGTGGTCCAGGCTTGCAGCATGCCAGAAATAAAGGCCTCTGTGGCTGCTTGCCTTTGTTCTGTTACCAAATTGCAGCTTTGCTCTTTCAGGGAGACAGGAGCCAGAGTTTGAAGGCTGTGGCCTCCTCATTTTCTACTGTCCAAGTGTCAACAAGAGTCTGCCTCTCTCTTGGAGAATAGCATGG